CTCCGCGGACGGGAAGGCCGACCGGGAGATCACGAGCCGCTGCTGCCGAGCGTAGAAGTGCTACCGCCGGAACAGTGCTTCGATGTACGACAGGCTACGGGCCGACCGCCAGCTCAAGATCCGGCTACAGGCTGAAGTGGTGGAGACTCTCCTGTATGGGTGCGCCTCGTGGAGCCTAACAGCGGAGCACTACACGAAGCTCAATGGGACCCACCGCCAGTTCCTTACACGGTGCATCGGCTGGAGCAAGCGGAAACGCTCAGACCGCCCCCTGTCCTATGCCCAGGCCCTCATCCAGGCAGGCTGCGAGGAAACCATCGAGGCCACCGTGCGCTAACGGAGACTGTGTTTCGCGGGCTTTGTTATGCGCATGGAGGACAGCCGCATCCCCAAGCGCATGCTGTTAGGAGCGATGGCGGGGGGCGTGGGATACCGGGGCGGGCAGGAGAGCGACTGGGTGTCTCGTCTAGGACAGGACGGCAACTTGCCCCTTCGCACCAATCTTAAGAGCTCCAACACAGCACCGAATCCCCAAGAAGATGTTGTTGTTGTTTGTTGTTGTTTCTCACATTAGCTCTATAGTCCACAAAAAATGGGGAACCCGTGGTCTCAAAACCCGGCACATACGACGCCGCGGGGAAACAAAACAAAAACAGGGTACAAACCACTCGGAAAAAGAAAACAAAATGACAGAAAGAAAACAACAGGTATCGCACCGACCGTTCGAGAAAAGAGCCCTCGGAAACCGATCAAAATAAAACAAAAACAAAAATAAAGGAGGCCGCTTCCCACACCCGCCCAAAGAAAAAATCAAAGGGTAACGTACCAGCACCAGGCACTACGCACCAGGGCATGGGAGTAACGGAGAAAACAGGACAAAGAGGCGGCAGATGGGCAGACAGCCAGACGTACAAAAACAAAGGAAACAGCAAAGGGAGATCACGGTACCCAACACAGTAGAGTAGGCAGGGAGGTCATGAAACAAAGAAACACAGAAACACAGCACAGAGGCCGAAGGCAATACAAAGGACATACATAAAGGAGTATAGCATACAGCAGGGAGGGAAACAGTGCGCAACAGCATCAGCCGGGTACATAGTTCGCCACAAGTGCTGCCTCGGCCGCCCTACTCGCTTCTACAGGAGTGTCCGGTCGCCGTTTCTTCCCCGGCTCTCTTTCTCTTCGGTCCTGAGGCCGTACTCTCTGCTTCTGCTTCCCTCGCGCGCTGGCGCTTCGCGAACGCTTCCGCCTCCTGCCTGTGCCATTTCCTCATGAACCATGCCGCCCCGTCCTCGACCTTGTTGTACCACACCTCCGGGTCCTTGGCGCTCTCTTTCCATTTACCCCCTTCCTTTCGTCTCCCATGTTGAAGGCCACGAGGGGGGTGTGGTGTGTCACATATGGTGTGCGTTGTTGAGGCATTTTACTTCGATACTGTACACTTGTTTTGGTATTGGAGAGGCTTTTACGACCGGAGAAGGACTGGCGAGAATGATGACCATCATCGTTGAGGTGTTCGGGGAGTTCGGGCTAATGGTGTCGGAGAAGAAGACGGAGACGCTCCTGATGCGCGCAAAGGACAAGCCGACTACAACATCACAGCCCGCCCCGCCTCCACCGCTGACCATCGAAGCCGCAGGACAGAAATACGCCCACACGACCGAGTTCCGGTACCTCGGTGGCCTCGTCAACGAACATGGCGACCTCACCCGGGAGATCAACTACAGGAGCAGAGGAGCGTGGGAGTGCCTCAGGCTATATGGCCGGGAGCTCTTCGACAGACCGCAAGCGCCATTCCGACTCAAGATCCGCCTGCTCCAGGCGGAGGCGATGGAGGCACTGCTGTACGGTTGCATGACATGGTCACCACTCAGCGGCCACTATCAGACGCTGCGGTCGATACACCACCGACTGCTCCTTCGAGTTATCGGGTACAAGCGCAAGAAAGACACCTACCGGCAGCTCTCTTACGCCCGGACGATGAAGAAGAAGAGGGTCGAATGCCACGTTGAAGCCACGATCCGACAACGACGCCTACTGTTCGCGGGAGCATTGG